TAAGCTTGATGCAAAAAGGTGTAAAAACATCTTTCTCAAAATTTTCTCAATTATATGCTTGAGAGAATTGGATTTTTCCTAGATGGTACAAATGGATCAGAGTATGCCTTTTTCTTTCTCCTTTGTGGTCTTTAGTAATGGAGGACTCACTAAATCTTTTAGAAATTCAAGGCGCCTTAGACAAGGGCAAAGAGGATCCCCTAATCCTGTTTTTATCCATTTCTAAGATGGAGGCTCTTATTGAATGTATTTATAGCACTTGGAAAAGAGATTTGTTATGTTGGAAATTGAAGGGGGAACGAGGCGATTGAAGCGTCACACATGCTTTTTGCAGATGACACCCAGTTGTTTTGCAAGCTAAGTAAAGAGTCTCTTATTCACATCAAGTGCATCTTGCTCTTTTTCCAAGTCATTTTTGTCTTTAAAATTAATGTAGGCAAGTCTAAGTTAGTTCTCATGGAAATTCGTGCAGATTGAGAGGATTTTTCTAAAATTATGGAGTGCAAGCTCTTTTCTATTATGTTAGCTTAAGATTGTAGGTTACTTAAGGATAAAGCTATTTGAGATCGAGGATCAATAAATTTGATAGAAAACTTTCCCAATCAATGTAGCTAAAAAAAGGTCGAAGCCATCAAATCCCAATTTTCATGGGATGATTCAAATGAAGAAGAAGATATCATTCGCTAGCTAATATGTACTCAAACTTTCTTTGAACTCGGGTGGACCGAATATCAAGTTTTTGGTGAGCTTCAATAAAGAATTTCTTCATTGTAGAGATTTATGACTAGATAAGATAAAACCAAGGTGGAGGGTGATTAGAGCAAAATATGGAAGTAGAGGCAAGGAGTAGGAAGTATGAACAATTTGCACCATCAAGGGGTCGGAAGTATGATCCATAAGAGCAAACAAGTCGGACTTACAACTAAATATGGCTCTAGTTTACGGAGGTGAATCCATAAGGGGTAGGAGCATTTCAAGGTGCATATTCATGTCAGGTGAACAAGTGGGTGGAGTTTGTGATGCTTGAACAATTGTGAGGAGATTATATTTGATTGATTACAAAAATTGACACTCTGCACATTGCCTAGCCTAGGAAGAATGAATCTGTCTGGAAGCTATGTTCAAAAAGTTCCCTTTGAATGAAACCCTTCTATGTTCACATCACCTATCCCTCCTCAAGTCCTACCCTTTCCCCTTAAAGCAAATCTGTTGGAGAAATGCTTCTGACAATAGTCTGTTCTGCTTGGGAAGCCAACCATGGGCATGTCCCAACTATTGCTAACCTCATTAAGATATATAAGATGCCAATAAATGGATGTCTGTTGTGCAAGAATGTTACGGAGACTTTGCATCATCTTTTGTTAAGGCGCACTACTTCATTCATTTTTAGTAAATGATTCTGAATCTCCTCAAGTCTAGAAC